AAAGTACAAGGTGCTGGTAAGAACAGATCTGGAGTACTGCGAGTAGTCTTGGTCCCCTTATCTAAGGAAATATATCATTTCATTGGAGGTAGTTCAGAGAAGATTCACGGGTATGACCCCCGGTAGGATGGATTGTCTAATGAGCACAGATTGAATAGCTTGGGACTCGACTGATTGGAATTTGGAAGAATGAGAAGTAATCTCATTGAAACATATAGGATTCTTAACGGGCTTGTCAGACTAAATGCTGAGAGGATGTTTTCCCCTTTGTGGGAGTCTAGGACCAGACAGCATGGTCTGATAATAAAGGGACACCAATTGAAGACAGGGATGAGGTGGAATTTCATCACATAGAAGGTTGAGAGTCCTTGGAACTCATTGTTGCAGAGAGCTGTGGGGGCAGAGTCCTTGTGTAGAGTTATGTTTGAGATAGATAGATTCTTGATCAGTCAGGAATCAAGGTTACAGGGAATATGCAGGAAAGTGGACTTGGGGAATGCCAGATCAGTCTGAATCCTATTGAATGGTGCAGTTGACTTGAGGAGCCAAGTGGCTTACTCCTATTCCTATTTCTTGTGGTCTTATGTTTAGGATAGGTCAGGTTCGGGATGGGTGGTGAGATGGTTGAGTGCATCAGGGCTGGCTTTTGACGGAGGGTGTGGTTTGGGTTTCATGGGTTTGGGGATCAGGGCTGGCTGCATGAGAATTTTAGGGGAAGTGGAAGTAGGTGTTAGGGCTGCAGTGGTAGGGGTTGTGTTGGGGGTCAGTTAGGACAGTGGTGTTTCCAGGGCTGGTGGGAGCAGCTATCAGGTGCAGCGCAATGGGCTGGGTGGTGGTTGTTGGGGCCAGCTGATTTGGCATAGGGGGTGAGTTTTAGGACCAGCGAGTTATTTTTGATGGGGTCAAGTCCTGGGTAGTCCTTCTCATGGGGGTAAAAAGGCCAGGGAAGGTGTAATTTGGATGGTGCATGTTAAATTGAGGAGGGGGGTTGTTCAGCTTACCAACTTATTCTAAAGTTAGACTAGGATTTTAATTGTCTATCTTCTCCTGGGTAATTATTACTTTGAGGGAGCAGAACCTTTCAAATTCACAAATTTGTGAGCATTTTTTTAAACAGTTCCAGACACAGGAGAATTGCCAATCAGAATCTTCAATTTTCGAGGCATTTCCAACAGAAATGTTGCAACTTGGATTCTACAGAGTCCAACCAGCAAACTTCAATTTGCACGGTTCCAATGACGGTCCAATGCATTGGAATATCCAGGCAAATGATAAGACTGCTTTTCTTAAATGACAAGTGGTTTATTTTGTTCACAACAAAAGTAAAATGTCTTCCACTAGTATTTCACATAATCCTCAATGGTTGTACATAGTGCATACTGGGTGCATGGCTGTGGAGGATATAGAAAGAGTTGGCATGGATGAACTGACAGTGCACAGAGTATACATCAAGGACACAGAGGTGGCATGGGCAATCTGAAAGGGACATTCAGACTTTCTGATCAAAGTCATTTTTATTTTGCTTCCTGATTAGTATTTCCAACGAATAGTGTGTTTTAAACAGTGTCAACTGTTTGTTCAAACATTTCTATTAAGACAACCAACATTTTGGGGAGGCATTGGCCTGGTGGTTTTATTACAAGACTATTAATCCAGAGACGCAGCTAATGTGCTGGGAATCTGGGTTCAAATTCTGCCATGACAGAAAATGGAATTTGAATTCAATTGTTTTAGAAATCTGGGATTAAGAGTCTAATAATGACTATGAAACTGTTGTTGATTATGGATTTATGGATGTGCTTTAGGGAAGGAAATCTAACATCCTTAACTGGTCTGGTCGACATGTAACTCCAGACCCATAGCAATGTGGTTGATTCTCAACTGGCCTCTGGGCAATTAGAGATGGACAATAAATATTGCTCTGGCCAGTGATATCTACGGCCCGTGAATGAGTTTTAAAATTTCTGTAAATTGGAAATTTACGTTAATATTCAGATTTCAAGCATTTTAGTTTTGTGCCATCTTGATTTTTCTACCATTAAGGAACTTTCCATATTTCTCTCTTTTCAGAATGTCTTCGGTGTATGTTAAATGGTGTGTGAATTGACAGAATGATAAATTTACAGAAGCTTAGTTTTTATAAGTCTGTTGTTGATGCTTTCTGTTTTGTCAAAGAGGGGGTTGTATTATCTGTGTTTTCTTCTGGTGAAGAATTTTTAACAGGCACCCATCAGTGGATTTGCCTGCAGATTGTGGTGAGGTGGGAGCATGGGTTTGTGAAACTTCATTTCCTATCCTTATCCCAAATGAGGTCTTAAATGACCATTCGATGCCCAGAAAAAGATAATTTTATGCCTCAGTCTCAATTTTCAAGATGTTTATAAGCCAACCAAGCCATGGGCAGATGGAGACATAACTGCATTGACACTTTCTTTCAAGCTTGAGAGCCTCCCATTCAAACAGCTGATTCCACTGGGTGCTTCCTCCATACCTGCCTTTAACATCATGACCTCGCCATAACTGTTCAGTATTCCTACATCCTAGGGCCCTGGTACAATTAACTCTGTGGGCTCCTTGCACTGATAGCAGTGACCATTATTCCCCACAGCATTGCTGGGACCAGATTGACTAGCAGCTCACCAAGGCAGTAATTCTCAGGATGTAACATATGCTGTGGATGTATCATTCTCAGATTTCCTGAAGGCATTTAATATATGTCACATCAAGATGACTTCAGCAAACAAAAGCTAAAATAAAATTTTAAGAACAAAACAAAAGTGTAAGGGGAAGCATATTAGCAGGAACATGGTACATGGTAGTTCCCGTTTTAACTCTCCTGCATGATGTTACAAATCTGGCTCTTCCTACCTCCCCTAATCCACTCACTGTGTCTGTCAGCTCGGCCTCACGAATTTACCACACATCCCTTCAGTCTGCTCTCCATAACCGTCTCCTTTTTTGGGCGCTATCTGTAGTCCCAGCAGGGACATTACTCAAACCTGACTGAGAGAGTGGCCACAGCTGAAATTATAAAGTCGCTGGCCAATCAAATTGCTCAGCAGGTCTCTCAGGTGGCCCTTCCTCCCTACGTCAGGGCTGGTTGCTCAGTCTGAGCCAATTAATGCTCCCAACTGATGTGCTTTTTTTTGGCCAGTGTAAAATCCTGCTTATTGTATTTGTCGTTGGAGGGGATGTATAACTCTTACAGACCTGGAGGTGTATCCTTGTTTCTCAGGACTTTCTATTTTAATATGCTATCCATTACATATCCTTCTGGGGTGGCCAAAGTCTCCTGAAGAATCTCTGAGCAGGCCACTAATTAATTGATATCCGTGGAGCCTGGAGCCTGCTAGAAACCAGCATATAATGCCAGAAAAGAATGCCCCATACAATTAACAGTAGGTCAGTCTTTCTTATTCAGCACTTGTTGAGCCACTGCTAATTTAGTGTGGAATACATCCATTTTAAGTAGCAGAAAGGGGCATGCAGATAGATTTCTTCTCCAAATATGCAATGTAATCTCAATTACAATTCATCTAATCATGTCGAGTCCAATCGTCCATATGTTTTAAGTGGATCTTGTTGGTTGCCCACAATTCTTTAGGACTCAGTGTTTTTGTTAACAGTGTTTTGTTTGTTAACAGACCCAGGTCACCAAATGAGCAGCAGATGCTGGATTTCTTAGCAGTGTTGGTGATTCACAAGCCTGAAATACACTTATTAAGGTGCAGATGCCCTCTGGCATTCCCCAAATTAATTGCTTTCCTCTGGTCCATCATATTTGTTTGGAGTCTGATGGATACAATCTCAATATTAATGTTGGGAACATCGCTTGTGCTCAACAATTTGAGTGTTTCATGTTTGAATTGACTGATGATCCAAACAAAACTAGAAAGTCAGTAGCACTTGCATCAAATTGGCTATGCCAGCTACATCACTAATCCAGCTGAGCCTGGTCGGGATTTGTTGAGGTGAACCACCTCCCAGTCTCAAGATCATCAGAGCTGTGTCTTCTGTTGCCACTTTGAGGGGCTTATTGGAGGACAGACCTGTTGAAGAGTATTGAAGGAGTTAGAGAGGGCTTGCCCACCACTAATTCAACCTGAATCCATGAAAAAGCTTGGTCAGCAGAGACATAAATTGCACCACGTGCCACCTAGATACCAATGACTAATACTTCAGTCACTGTATCAGTGCTTTCATCGCTACCGACATGAATACAACACAAATACCTAATGCCAAAACATTGCTGCATCTCTTATAGTGCATGGAATCATAGATGGCATTTAACTGCATTTACCATGACTAATCCACCTAGCCTACACAACCCTGGACACTGTAACATAATTTAGCATGGTCAACCCATCTAACCTATACATCTTTAGACTGCGGGAGGAAACCCGAGCACCCAGCAGAAACCTACACAGATACAGGGAGCACATGCAAATTCCACACAGACTGTCACCCAAGGTTGGAATTGAACTCAGGTCTCTGGTGTTGTGAGGCAGCAATGCTAACCACTGAGCCATAATATCATTTTGAACATTTCTGCTAGATCTTATCTGTCGTGCAAATTTCATCTTGGAAAGGTAGGAGTACAACTTTTCACACATACTTTAAATACATTTCAGTGAGGATAAAATACATTTCAATCTTCCTTGCTATACAGTTTTTTTCAGGATAGTAATCAGTGACAATTCAGCATATTCATTTTTCACGTTTTTGAACAGAACTCCTAATTAATAGCAAAGTAGTGGTGGTGTTATGTTAGGGATTCATATCCACTGGGAAGTGCCATGAGACTAACACTTATTTCACAGTAGGTACTTAAAAATGCTCAGAGGATATCAACACTCATTGTACCAAGCACAGATTTCAGCTGAAGGCCTGGAAGCAAAGCACTTTACAAAATATACTGAAAAATATTGAAGAACTACAGAAGCGAACATCTACTGCATACAAATCACCCAGTAAAAATGTTTTCAAATGTGATATCTTACCTGGTGGTTGCCTTAGTTTGTGGTAGACGTGTAGAACTCTGCCATTCTCTAGTTTTGCAAGTGTTTCCATGTCTGTACCATTGAATCTGTTTATTTTAGTGATGCTTAATTTGTACTTAGCGGTGAAGTTATCTAAATTGATGGCGTAAATGAAGTTTTCAAACACTGCCAAACTGTAAAGATGTTGAACCTGCAAATAAAAAATAGCTTAGTATTGCCATCTGGTAAATTATCAGTGCATAATTTCTGAGACAATAAATCAGGCAGCTTTCAGATTAATGACATACAATTTATATGTATTTAATCATTACAATGCAAGAATTCATTTGCCAGTCACATTTGGGAAGGCTGATATCTTGCTGTGTTACAGTTATCTATTATTTCTTTGCTTTCATAAAAATGGTTTCGAGGCCAATTCTCAAACCTCATGTTTTATTACAAAAACTGAGAATTTTAAATTAAAGTGAAAATAATAATCACTTATATATAATTTGTAATTATTGTAAAGTTTAAAATGTATACCCATATTTCACAGAATCACAGAATTAGTATAGAATAGGAGACCTGTTGTATCTGTACCCGCACTCTAAATGAGTAATTCACCTACTACTCATTCCCCATAACCAGGCACTTTCTTTCTTTTCAAATAATAATCTAATTCTATCTCAAGTGTCTCAGTTGAACCTGCTTCCAACACATTCTCAGGCTGCATATTTCAGATCTTAACCACTCAGAGCGTGAAAATGTTTTCCTTTTGTCTCCATTGCATCTTTTGAGAGTTATCTTAACTCTGTGCCCTCTCAATCTTAATTTTCTAATAGGAGCATTTTTGTCCCATTTACTACCATGATTTTGAATACCTCTATCAAATCTTCTCTCAACTTCTCCAATCTAACAACAGAAGTGAATTTTTCCTTTAACTCGTTTATAACTTGCTAGGACCATTTCAGAGGGCAGTCAACTACCGGACCCGAAACGTTAACTCTGATTTTTTCTTCACAGATGCTGACAGATCTGCTGAGCTTTTCCAGCAACTTCTATTTTTGTTCATGTTTTTACTTAATATTGTCCCTCTACATTCTTCTAACCAAATTAATCGCTACACGTTTCATGGCATGGAATTCCATTTACCACTTGTCCATTTATTTCACGAACTTGTCTATCCCCTTTTGAAGTTCTACACTATATTCCTTGTGATTCAAAATGATTCCAAGTTCCATATCACGTGAAAAGTTTGAAATTAACAATGACAAATTAACAATTAACAATTAACAAATTAAAGATAACAGCAATGGGCAAGTATTAAACAGAACCATGTTAATGGTGTACAGTTTTTGATCAGCTTTTTGACATGCTTATCCTGCAGGCCCTACTGGAACACACTTCACACTTTATGAACAGACCAATCCCCACCTCTGTCATGACACAGCCCCTGATTGATTGCAACCTTCATCAATTGCAACCTGGCAACAGACATAGCTTCGATGTCCAAGGTTTCAACCGTCCATGGAAAGTCTAGACAACCCTCAACTGCTTAAGGACAGACCAGGAAAGTTGAAGCCACTCGCTCCACAAGTGACCACAAGGAAAAACTCAAAATTGTGATTGTGGTTATCCAAATTTAGACCGTCATCTTCGGCAATCCATTCCTGATGGCATCACAACCAGTCACTTTATCAGCTGAATCCCTTGAACAGATTGTTAACTTCAACATTAAGCTACAGCTCCTTAGCCACATGAATAAAAATGTCCTTTAATTGCAGAATTGTACAGCTGGTTATTGGGATCAAACATGCAGTTTGGAGAAAGAAAAATTACTTTGCAATTCATTTGTTTCTTCAAAGTGCACTATGTGTAGACAGGTAACTTTTTCACATATTCTTAGTAGTGAGAATTTGTGATGAATCTGCTGCCAGCCACAAAATACTTAACATATGCTTCTACCAATAATATTCAAAGGAAACTTAGTTTGAAGTTAAGGCCACCGTGCCTCAGCACCAATTACCTGACAATTGTAGGGAAACGATTCGAAAAATTGTCTTAAATCATTCTGCAAAATGGAATTGCAGGAGGAAACTTGAGCTCTGAGAAACCAAACACTGAGCTCATTTAAAAAAGTTTTTTCTTCACCTCTTTCTTTGAACATGGATACAACACTTGCAATTATCCAGCCCTCTGGCAACACATCCTCTATTTAAGGGAAGATTGGTAGATTATGGTCAATGCCTCCACATTATACATCCTTATTTGTCTCAACATCCTCCAATGCATTATAACTAGTCCTGGTGACTTAATGAACATTTAAGTACGGACAGTCTTTCTAAGTTTTCTCAATTTTAGTTCACCCGGAATCAGAACTAGCTCCTTTTTCACTATGACCTTGTCAGCATCTTCTTTTTAAGATGACAACTGCAAAGTTTTCATTTAGTTTCCATGCATGCCCTGTGATATGACTTTTTCATTTTTTATTGGCCTTTACATCTCTTTACTACACATTCACTATTTATATGCCTTTAGGACTTCTAGATCTATTCTAATCCCATTTTAGAGCACTTGTGCCATAGCTTTACACATTATGACATTTCAAGCATTCACCTAAATTGTTCTCCCTTATACTGAGGACCCAGTTTTACCCTTTTAAGCAGTGAGTTCGAGGCAGCCACAAGTTCTGGCTGAAAAATATCCTCAAATCCTCTTTTAAACCTCCTGCTCCTCGAGTTAAAACTGAACCATCTGGTAATTGACCCTTTTACTGAGGTAAAAGGTTTCCCACTATGTACCCTATCTATGCCCCTCATAATTTTTCACACTTCAATCAGATAACCGTCTCTGCTCTAACAAAAACAAGCCAGCCTATCTTAGATAACAAGGTGTAGAGCTGGATGAACACAGCAGGCCAAGCAGCATCAGAGGAGCAGGAAGGCTGACGTTTCGAGCCTCGAGCTGCTTGGCCTGCTGTGTTCATCCAGCTCTACACCTTGTTATCTCAGATTCTCCAGCATCTGCAGTTCCTACTACCCCAGCCTATCTTATCTTCCTCACAGCTGAAACACTTCAGCCCAAGCAACATCTTGGTGAATTTCTTCTGCACCGTCCAGTGCTTTTACATCTTTCCTATGGTGTGGCTACCAGAACTAACACAATACTCCAAACATTATATACTTTTCCATTATAACTCCTTGCTTTTGTATTCAGTGCCTTGACTAATAAAGACAAGAATCCCATCTGCCTTCTTCACTATCTTATCTATCCATTTTGCTGCCTCAATAAAATATGGACATGAACGTGAAGGTCCCTCTGATCCTCTGTACTTCCTAGACTTCTACCATTCAACGTGTACACCTTGTCTTGCCAGTCCTTCCAAAATGAATCTCTGCACATTTCTGGATTAAATTCCATTTGTCACTGTTCAACCCATCCTGACCAGCCCATCTATATTGATCTGTAGTATTATTCTTTCCTCCATGATACTTACTGCACCATTTTTGTGTTATATACTAACTTATTGATTATATCTCCTATATCGTACATTTGACATAGCCACCTTTTGCTCTGCTTTAAGAGCTTGCACTTTATTGATTTAATCATTCAGGACATCTGATTTTTGATTGCCCTTTCATTGTTCAGAAGTTTCTGGTCTTGACTCCACTATCTTCCTGCCCAACATCTCTTTACCCAACTATGACAGCAAATGTCCAATGTACCTGACTCATCTCCTCTTTATGATGAAACAATAAGTTGCCCACACTGTTCCTGAAAATCATTGATTCCAATTTACCTGGACAGCTCTAAAATTACTCCTCCTTTAATTTAATATTTTCAAATTTTTCCTTGTCCTTTTCTTTGGTGAACCTAAACCTTATTCTCACTCACCTTTTTCTCCAGAACTAGGATCTAAAGATGTTGATTAATTATATATAATCAATCAGCATAATATAGATATTTATACACATAAAATCCTGAGCACACTTCAGAAACTTTCTTCCCTTTATGCTTTCTGTCATTATTCTCCCAGTCTATGTTCAAATAATAACTGCAGTTGTTTCAGTTTTTATTTAGTATTTAACTCACTGCCACATCTCTTCTACCCATGTCCACCTTGAAGAAGTTTTGCTCCTCCATCCGACTGGATTTCCATTCCAATCTTTCTTCTTGTTCACCAACATTAATTTCACAGTCACTCCTGGTGTTTGACCAAGTATTTGCTAAAACTCGTTCCCACAGCCATATCATATTCCTCAGTGACTGCCTCTGGCTCAGACTCACCCTACGTGGATTCCAACTGAAGTTTCATCCCTCATGTTTTGAATCCTCCCAGGATCACAGATATCTCCGTGATGTTCAACAAACCATGGACAGCTGCTCTCGCCGTATCCTGAGATCCACACTGAGTGCCATGCAGCGCCACATGCGCACTCTCAACATTTCTCTTTAACAACATCGCATCACACTGGTTGAGGGTTACACCATTCCAGAGTTCCACTTCATCCTCCGGCTCATTTGTCATGCTAACAAGAAACTTTTTCTTTTCCTTTCAGGCATCAAGGCCCACAAGATGCAACAACTCAAAGATACCCATGGTCCTCTGGAACCTTCCTCTCCTCCCTTCCCTCTGACTCCATCCCCTCTCCTAACCTCACCTCCCGTCAGGTATTCACCACCCCTCCTAACCTTCCACTTTCCGATGCTGAACGTTCTGTACTCAGCAAAGGCCTCAGCTTTATCCCTCTCCGTCCCCACCTTAACACATTTTGAGCAATACATGACGTTGAACTCTCGTTCCGCTGTCTTCGCCTCCATGCCGATTTCTTTGGACAAGAGTCTTCTTCTCGTCCCACAACCCCCTTCGTCCAGTTGAAAAAAACAGTTCTGAGGAAGGGTCACCGGACCCGAAACATTAACTCTGATTGTTTCTTCTCAGATGCTGCCAGACCTGCTGAGCTTTTCCAGCAACTTCTGTTTTTGTTCCTGATTTACAGCATCTGCAGTTCTTTCGGTATTTATTTCAAATCATTAATGTCCCCCATTATCGCTGCTCTGTAATTTCCCTGCAAACTTACTCATGTTAATATTTCCTCCTAGATATTAGAGTTCCCCACTCATGAAATGATACCTCTGTTGTTTCTCACCTCTAAGCAAAAATATTCTGGGCCTTGCTCCCTCTAGTATGAACTAAAAAGCTTAAAAATG